TAATATTTAAAATATATTAGATATAATATAACTTAAAAAAATCCAATTTAGAGGTTGAAACTGGTTTTAATAATTCAAGTTTATCATATGAATTTTGTGATATTTTAGAATTTATTAGAATTTAATTAGATAAATTTCTAAAATATCACAAAATTTATGTGATAAACCTGAATTATTAAAACCGGTTCCAACCTCTAATCCAATTAACTTAAGTAGTTAAATATTATAGTAATATTAGTTTGTAACTATAAAAGTTAGTTAAACAAAATATTTAAATAAATAATTTACAAATAAATTATAAATATAGCAATTTGTATAAAATCATTCAAATCTAATATCTATGTGACAAACTACTTAAATAAACAATAACTAAAGTTATACATGTGATATGTTGTATACTCTTCATGTAATTATATAAATTAATAAAATCCTCTTTGGCAATATAAACCGCCTTAATAAAAAAAAAAAAAAATCTTGATATAAATATTTTCCGATCGCACATGACATTCTACTTACTATATATGGTAACTAATAAATGCCTGCTAATTTTTACTATGTATGAAATTTATACGTACCCTTTAATTACAAATTATTATACCTCTTAATGAAAAAGAATTATAATTAATTTCCAAAGTATAAAGAAGTTATCTTTTTTGGTTTATACTATTAAAAACTTGGTATACACTATATATTTTGCTAAAGTATTTCTAATCCGGAGTATATCGACATCTGTATAAATCGACAGCGAGTTATAGCGACATTTTTTTAAAATTTAAACCTATATACGCCGACAGATATCTGTTATTAAGAATCGATATAACCAGAGTTACGTATAATAGTAATTTCATAGTACGTATAAACTATTCCATTTGACTTTTATAATAATCCGAAGTTGTTTGGGCATATAAATCACAATAGCATGAAATGGTTTAGATTCTTATGTCACTCTAGAGTAAAGATCTCTCTACTCGGTTATCCGCACTATAGCAATTTTTACACCGTGTGATATTTACATTTTAAATTTTATGCATTCTTTTGAAAACCATTGTAATAACCAATCAAATTAGTAATAATTTATAATTTTTAAAGTTAATGGCATGCCTAATAGATACCTGAAATGTGAGAGAGTCTCATGCTGACTAAGTCATTTCATTTACGGTTTAGATTTGATCTGCAGAAATTGTACTAATCACTATAACAGATATAGTTAGGTTAGTGATCGTAGCCGATAGAATTACGAAATAATGTCCCGCGTTGTCCACGCCTCGTTTATTTTTAACACCATTTTCCGAATTTATTCTCAACACGGTTTAGCTTTGAATAGGAATGACATAGCTTTTTTAAGATAAGTATACTATAGCATAAATTGTAAATTTTATTTTATTTTTTTATATCAAATTTTGTTTTAATGTATTATAAGTCACTACAAACTTTAGGTTTGACGATTGGGCATCGCATGATTTGCGAATAATTACACAAAGTAAGTCATCCATAAACAATAAAAAATTTTAATTATCATTCATTTATTCATTATGCAAAAGAATCAAAAATTCAATATAACGAGAGATTTATTAGTAAATTCACATGTTAATGTGAGTGAATTGTATATATATCGCATGGTGCGTTTATTCTTATATATAAAATCGACCAGCCAGGTTTGAAAAAAAATAGACCGACCAGGTCGAAAAATCGGCTTAGTCAATTTTTTTAGTTTGTAGACTAGCACTACCTCAACCCCGCAAAGAAAAAGCTAAAAAAAAAAAAAAAAAGGAAATAATGCAAAAAAAAAGGAAAACGTACAATTGCTAAAAAAAAATATTAGTTAAATTTGTCTTATTATCTGTTATTATATCTCTTATTGATCATCATAATATCGCCATATACGCGCTCGACAGTCACCGGATCCAGTGGCAAAAAGTTTACTAGTCGGACCACTTGGTGCCGGACTTAGGGCTACTGAAATTACTAAAAATATTAAAAAAAGTAAAAAATTAGTATCCAATTGAAAATTATGGGAAAAAATTTAAGATTTGGAAATATATAAAATATATAAAATATATATACCTGAATTTTTATGACCTTGTAACATGAATTGAGTTTGTGCGTTAACTGGGTCCCAAAATTGTACACCACGATCTTTAGATCCTGAAACTACCCAACGACCATCAGGAGATACTGCAACGGATAAAACGAAATCCTATATTTTTTTAATAAAAAGGTTAATAAAAAAATAGATGAATTATTTTAAAAAGATCAAATAATAATAAAGTATACCTTGTGTCCGTTGAAAGTCATCTTTGCTGAATTCTTTTGACTAGATCCAGCACCAGAATTTCTTCCTGGATGACTCATATCCCATAATTTCAAAGTTTTGTCCAAACTTCCAGAAACTAATGTTTTACCATCAGGTGCAAATGCAACAGAGTAAACACTATCTTTGTGTCCTTCCAAACGTTCAAGAAGGTATCCTGTTCGTGCGTCCCAGACGCGTACTATTTTGTCTAATGATCCTGCTGCGACGTAAAAACCATCAGGGCTAATGGCTACACTGGTTACACCAGCATCCTTTTGACTAGGTTCATCGATTGCGAGTTTATACAATAATTCACCAGTAACCATATCCCAAACACGAGCAGTTTTATCTCCGGAACCAGACACAATTAACCGGCCATCACGTGAGAAGTCGAGTGAATAAATATCTTGTTCATGACCTGGGAAAAGCGATCTAATTGATTGTTTTTGAATATCCCAAATCTAGGAAATAAAAAATAAATGAAATTCATAAATAAAATCAAAAGAATTTACTTTTATTTATTTTGTTTATTAATTACTTACCCTAATTTGTTTATCTTCAGCACCTGTAGCCAAAAATTTTCCATCAGGACTGAAACACACACTCCTAATATATAAATCACCAGTTTTATCTACACTATTATCATCAAGAACGCTTTATGAATCGATGAAAATTAATGATAAATTAAAAAATTAAGTTATATAAGAAATTAGTTTATTAAAAATTGATTAAGGTTAATTAAAAAAACTGGAATTTACCATAATTTTTGACCATTTGCAACATCATAAATTTGAGCACTTCGATTACAACCAGTGGCAAGAAATTTCCCATCAGTACTAAATTTAACACAACATACAACACTAAAAAATAATAAAAAATTATAAATAAATATGCATAATAATAATAAACAAATAAATACATATATATTTACCTATTATGTTCCAATGTATGGAAAAGATCAACATCAAGTGCTCGTTGTACTTTGGGATTGAAGCTTTTTTTTTTTTATATGAATAGAAAATTTAATGAGAAGATTTAACACTTATAAAAAAAATTTTACCATTATATTAAATAACAAATATATATATATATATATAAAAAAACAAAACAAAACATACATTGCAAACCAATCACCACCTTCTTTTTTAAGTTGAGCAGGGACAGTCTCAGGATCCATGTCACCTAATGTTTGATTACCACTACTAAGTGAACTAGTCTTTATTGGAGCACGAGATCCTGGTAGTGGAGCACCCATGTTTTGATTACTTTTTCGTTTATTATTTGAGGAAACCTGTTGAGCATTACCATTAGTAGGAACACCGGAAGATTGCTGACCATCAGGGCCAATACTAGGAGGAATCTGTGGTATTAAAGTTACAGGCTGAAATTATGATTATATAATTAATCAATAAAAAAGATAATAAATAATAATTAAAATAACCACTTATGGGTTTAATGTACCTTTGTGAGTTTACCACCCTGTTTACTACTTGGACCAACAGGTGGCATATATGCTTGATTCATAGGTGGTTGACCTTGTTGACTAGACTGAGGCGGAGGAATTCCATTATTATACAAACCTGGTTGACCAGGTTGAGAACTAGGATTCATACCAAGAGGATTTTGAGGACCAGTTGAAACACCATCCTCTATGCGAGGTCGTTTTGGAGTATGAGGTTGTGGAGGACCGCCATTAAGATATGGAGAAGGAGCAGAACTACTTCCAGCTTGTGGAACACTTTGAGGAGGGCCACTAGGCCCAGGGTAGTTTCCCGGATGACCAGGTTGATTTGTTGGCTGCTGTGTTGGATCCATAGACATTTGTGGGGGAGCGGCGAGGCCAGGGGCACCGTTACCACTCATGATACCACCAAACAAATTACTTTGACCCTGTCCAATGGTCGGTGGGGGAGGTTGAGGATGTGTTGGGGGAGGAGGAGGATGAGTACTTGTAGAATGATGAGGATGCAACCTTTGTTGGTCAATTTCACGTTGAAGATTGCGCAGATCGTTATCATACCTTAAAATCAAAAAGTAAAAAAGTAACAAAAGAAATATCAAGTGAGAGATCAATTAATTATTAAATTCAATTAAAGATGGTGGGAAGAGGAAAAATAATTTAAGTAACCACTTACTGTTGTTTTATGCCTTTGTGTGTAGCTTGTAATTCGAATAAACCTTGACGAATAAGGTTGACTTCCTCAGTTTGTTGTTGAACTATAAAGAAGAAAATAATTATGATAGAAAAGGTAAGTAAATTAACAAGAAATTAATAGAGGTAAAAAAAAAAAAAAAAAAAAAAGAAACTTTAGCATTGGATCGAACGTGCATTGTCGCACGGTGCGACAACAGAACGTCATCAAAATATATCATCACGCAGTAAATAGAGAAATAAATTAACCAATTATAATACACATGAGAAATTGAATGAACAGTAATAATTGAAGATTGAAGAAAAACTTCAATCAATTCGAGTAAATTTAACAGATCCTAACAGATTTTTAACATATCGCAAGAATCATAAACGAGGAAATTAAATTCAAGGGAATAATAAAATAAAATAAATTGGCATACCTTTATGTTCAAATTCTTCACGTTGTATTTTATAAGTCATGGCCTCCTGACTAAGATTTTCAAATTCATTTTTCAAAGCCTCTAATAGTTCGTTGAAACGACTTGGCCCACCGGTACCACCACCAGGGACAATCTGCCTATGATTGTATATATTTGACATTGCTGGCACCTATAAGTTCCAAGCGATGAGCGGAGGTTAAGAAAAAAGGTAAAATAAAAATAAAAATAAGAGAAGTACATATTTATTTTCCTTTAATAAAAGACGAAGGTAGGGTGGTATATATATTTATAAAAAAAAAATATTTTTTTTTTTGTTTTTTTTTCTTTTCTTCTTCTTTTCTTTCCAATTCAGTAAATTTCAGAAGAAGCAAAACAAAAAGAAGGAACTAAAGCTAGATTTCGGATGTGGAAGAGGTAAAAGTTTCAAAGAAACTATTACTTACAGTAGATTAGATTTAACACAAACTGGCAAAGACTCAAGAGACACAGGCAAGAGTAAGTAGGATCAAAACAAAGTGGTTTGTTTTTCCTTTTTCTCAAAGGAGAAAATGCAAAGAAAGTTTGGGGGTCTGCACTGACTCTGGAAAAAAAAAAATTGATCAAAAGGGCACACAGAAACTCTAACAGCTAATGGCACAAACGAATCTGTTACGTCATTTAAATCAACGCTACCATACCCAAAAAGGAAGAATATTTTGCTACACAACATAAAAAGTCCAATATAAAGTTAATATAAAACAGATGATAGTAGCGTATCTAGTAGTATATGAACACAGCAGGAGTCGGTACATGAATTACACAGAGAACCTGAGCAAGAACTGAGAAAAAATTTTTTTTTAAATATATAGATTCAATGAAGATCCATGGTTCTGAATAAGAAGCACAGCGCTGATATGTTGTGCGAAAGTTGCATTGTTTATTTTATTGTAATATTGATATTGTGTTGTTTGATAAATCGCCGAATTACTTGATGAAAGATAAAGTCTGCAACGATGCGTAATACCGATGTCAGTAAGCTAACAGCTATCACACTATACATAATAGTCAATATTAATAACATTATTAATTTTAATGCCTCCACAATATTCAGACTTTTATCAATCTGTAACACGATTAATTTACACACAAAATGGGGACCAATGTAAGATCCCCTCGACAATCAATCTTCCAAAAACATTATTATGACCTAAAAGGTGATCAAATTTTTTTTACCTACATACTAACTTTCTAAATCCTTGTGATTCCAAAAGATAAAAACAAATAAACATTTAATAGCCTTTAATTTTTCTATTTTTTCTATTTTTCTATAAATTCTATTTAGTTCTGTAGCATAATGTGATAGGTGCGTCTTCTTGTTCTCTTGTGAAATGCAGGTGTTCCTATTAACATCAGATTAGATATGTATTTTTACTTCTCCCGATATGTCATCAATGCGCCACATGGCAATAATGATTTTAATGATTTGGCGATCCGCAGTATCTTTATTAATGATTTACTGATTAAACATTATAAAGAACGTAAAACGAATTTCTAAGTTTAATATTCTATTTATACCTATCGCTACTATATGTTGATATATATCAGAAAATTTTCGATACTATTCATGCTAAAGCTGTTAAAAGTTGATTATTTCTCATTTCTCTCATTTTATTTATTTTATTTAATTTCTCTTATTTTATCACTATTTATTAATATAATAATAGGGGATTAACCAAATTAAAAATTGTTCTCGCTCATCTTATTCATTTTTATTTATCGTCGTTCATTTTTTTAAAACTAATAAAATGATAATTATCATTACTTTTTTTAGATAAACTTACAACCTTCATAATCTAATTAAAATTTTGCCGTCAATAATTCAATTCTATGAAAAGGATTTCCAAATTAAAAATATCTTTGCACATTATTATGTAAATCAAAATTAAATCTAGATTCTAAAGTCTAGAATTAAGTAGAATCTCAAATAAGATTTACTAAGTCTTGCAAAACGTCTCTAATTTACTATAATGTGGTATTAATAATCCTTTCTTGTTAATATGCGTATGAATTTCTCTTTTCTTGAAATTGGACTTGCTTAATTAGGGCTTTGAAAATAAGTATTATATTTTTTCTCCTGCTAATTTTCAGTTCTTCTCGGCATCTAATAAAACTGGATTTAACAAATATAGTGTCGCTCATATTCAATAAGGTATGGAATTAATTGAAGGAAAGATAAATCTTTATTTTAATATCCTGCAAGAGGCTTTGCTAAAGGCTTTGTGCTTATGTCACATCAAACTCTACTTCACATTTAGCCTCATATATTTAATGTAATAAAAGTACCGGTAAATAAAAATAACTGAATGACTCGGACCAGATTGACAATTTTAACTCATATCAATCATTAGCACTTATTTTCATAAATTTCTGTGTGTTAATTTCATAGTTCTGGTAGCATTTTTTATATATTTTTTATTCAACATACCTCTTAGAGTTAATATTTTATAGCATTAATTTAACTAGTTTTTTAAGTTGACACTATTAACCGAAATAGTTCATATATTTGATATCCCCAAATGAAGTAGACATCACCTGAACTTTGTAATAATTCAAAAAAAAATGGTAGAATCGCAACCCTAGTTTAGAATTTCGTAAAGTCATTATGGGGTTGTATGAATTGCCATTCATCATCTTCTAATTGTAGAACAGCTTGACGTAATAAAGCAATATTTTGCTTTAAAGGATCTATAAGGCACCAGAATTAATCAATATAAATACGTTTATTAAAACTATCTTTCCTATCTTTCATTATAAATTTTTGTACCATTTTCAACTTGGTCTTGGTTTGGATGAACATTTTCATTTTCATCATCTCGGTAATCGTCGTGATCTTCTAATGTATTAGCTGTTACCTGATTATCTTGTTCAATCCCTGAGGTTTCTGCATTAATTGACTCTAGATAAATCCCTTTTAACAGATTTTAAATAAAAGTTTATAGATTTTTTTTTATAAATGTCTAAATCTTCTCAATAAAATATACCTGTAGAGTCATCTATTTCTTCTATATTAGCAATTGGTGAATCATTTATCCCAAGTATTTGTATTTCTGGTGTTTCTTGTGGTGAGGGACTTGAAGAACTTGGTGCTGGTGATGTTGACGAACTATCAAATATCACGTTATAAGGTCTTGGCCTATCACTATCACTGTCGCTTTCATAGTTTGGAAAGGCATTTACAAAATTTGGGTTGGTTGGTACTGGTGGTCGAATTGTTACTGGTCTCCAAGGTGTTCCGGAAGGTTGATTTGAAAATCGGTTTCCTCGGTTGGTGTACATTACAAAAAAGACCTTGTTAATCAAGGTTTTAAATGTAATTGGTCATCACATGCATATTAAATATCGATATCATATGTTCACGTAGATCTCATGTATTATCAATTATTTTTATTGCGCACTTTCTCACGGTAACGTGGTGTATGTGTTTATTCTAATCTATTATCTATCTACATGATGTAACGTATGATCTTCTATTTACGTAAATTCTTGGCATATTGTTATTTATTTAGAATTAATATAGTTAGAATCCGGTTATTTGATCTATCCTAAAATCGGTTTAAATTAGTTTAAATTTATATTCAATTAGGACTAGTTGTTCCTGAAGTGAAAGCGGTTCTTCTATTCCATGTAAGGTGATCAAAATGTTTGTTTGTCCGACCGCCTACCTGATAATCGTCTAGCATATAATTGAAATAAAATTTTCTTACCGATTATTGTTATTAATTAAATACTTATCTAGTATTGGTCTAAATAAGAAAACTTATTTGACTAATTACTAATTTTTTTTATTTGTAAACGTTTGCATACGTACAAATTTACTTATTTTGTTATAAAATTTTTTGTTAATTTAGTACTACGTAAAAGTTTTAATAGATTTTTTATTAACGTTAATTAATAAATAATAAAAATTATATTTTAAACTATATACTAGTATTTAATAAAAGCAAACCAAATATAATGCGCTAAATATTTTTAATATATGGGCCCTCAAAAGTAGAAACCAGGGAATTTGACATTTTTTTGAAAATTAACCTGTTTGATAGATCAGGTATAATATTTAATGCCAAACATTTTTTATTTAATATTGAAAGTCTAGTTAATTAATAAATTTTTGAGATATGACGGTTAAAAGTTTTTGATACTATAATCTAAAAATAGATTTTTGTGCAAATGTTGCACGTATTTTATTCTAGAAGCAATTTATAGATCCAATAATCCTGTTTAAACAGGTTTGTTTAACTAGGTTAATCTTGAATAGGCTATTTTTAGATTGTTTTGATTTTGTGTAACAAAAACGTTTTTGCCAAATATCTCAAAACCCGTGATCGGCCAAATTCCCTGGTTTTTACTTTTGAGGGCCCATATATAAGAATTATAGTTAGAGCCAAATTAGAACTACATTACAATATTTGTTATATAAGCTTATACAAAAAGTTTTTAATTTCTTTTTTTAATAAATGATTTTTTTTTTAAAAAGGATTTTATAATTTATCGCTATAGCGATGTATCGCCAGTTCTTATAAATCATGTAATAGCATCATATTTTTGTGATGCATATTTTAAATTTTTACTTGTCGAATTTTTGAATTTATTGCCATAGCAATATATCGCTGACCAATAATTGGATGTGAAACAATTAATTATAGCAATATGTGTTATATAAATATTTAATTTAATTAGTCAATTAGCAAACTAGCAATACATCACTATAGCGAGAAATTGCAAAACCCAAAAAGATAATTACTACAATTTCAATACAAGCAAAATATATAATACTGTACATTAATTTGTAATTGCTCAATCATACTCTGAATTGAATTTTTTTTGCAAATATACAATTAATTTCTATTGCTGTATTTATAATAGAATTTGATCTGAAATAATTTTCAAACATATTGTTTCAGCAGATTAATATAGTATTCATACAAGATTATTAACTTTAGTATGATCTTTAGTGCCTTAAAATTTGAAACTTTCAAATTTGTTTCTTATTATAGTTGTTAAATCAGTTTGGTCTGCAAAATTAATCATTAAAATTAGTTTTATAAAACTTTCGATATTAGTAAAGATTAATTCTTATTTTATCATAAAAGTTGTCTCAGCAATTGTATTTATTTTAAATAAACAATCTTTATCTCTCTCAATTAAGTGATTTATTCTTCCATAATTTTTAAATCTGCAAGAAATTTACAAGTTTTCTACAATTTCTTTATGTAAATATAATCTTAACAGTTATTTAAATCATCTATATATATTTCTTCATGATAATTAACGAATGCTTTATGTTTATTCTTTTCAACTCCAATTCATAAAAATAACAATAACTAACCTCTAGTGTTACCCTTATCTGCAAAATTTTAATAATAAATAAACATCTTTTTGACTCTAATTCTTCCATCATAATAATGACCAACTTTAAATATTTCTTAAACATTTTGTATATTAGCTGATTTTTAATGATGAATGTTCATCTTTTTCAACTTTTTAACTTCAATTCTATGTCTATAACATATACCAATACAAAAGTCCCATATTAGCAGGTTCTTATAATAACTGAATATTTACAAACTACAAGATAATTTTATGCAAACTATAATTATTAAAAAGAATATTGATTCATAATCATAATAGTATAAGGAATAATAAAATTCATACCTGTGAAAGTTACAAATTTTCATATTTTCAACTCTCCCCGCTGATCACTTAAACTATTACAGAGCAGATATTTTTTAAATACAAAATAATTTAAAACTCTAGGAAACCCAGCAAAATAGTAGTTATTAAATAGAAGCACGAGTTGTATAGCCTAGTATACTTTACATAAGAGGCATAAAGATCTAGTGGGTGATAATACTATTATTTTGGCCAAAAGTTTATGTTATAGCGTTTTAAAGAAAAAGAAGAAGAAAAGAAGTAGTAGAGAAGAAGAAGAAAAAACAACAAATAGTATTTTGCACTAGGAAAAACACTTCAACTCTCTTTCACTTCGTAACTGGTTTTTGTAAGCAACCTTCCCTATCCTTTGACTAACAAAACTGATACGACGACCATAGCTTTTTCATTTTGTTTTCATTTTGAAAAAGTGGAGATTCTGGCTCACCCCCAACAAAGGATTAGCACCTGTACTACCTTCTATTTTAGGCAAGTCACGTCTTAATTGTTTACAAGTCGATTAACATACATGAAGCCAACACTGATCTGCTTACGTAAATAGAATGATAGCTAACGAGAAGTTATACTTGAAATTTATAGTATATGTGTTAGTACTATAAATAATTTTTATCTTTTATATCTTAGCACTGGCTATAATAGTGTGTTCTATCTTGATTATCTTTTTTTCTGCCTTCCTTTTCTTCTTTCATTTTCTTTTTTTATTTTTTTTTTTTTCGTTTAGGCAGCTTTTTCCCTCTTTTTGTTTTTTCCCTTTTATATTTCTTGTTATTTGTTTTTTTTGTTAGTCAGTTGGAATACAAATCCTTCGGCTCGGGAAGCTAGAAGAAGAAGGTTAGAGAATTAGGTAATCTTGATAAAAACAGTATATAGTAACCTTCTGTTCATCATTTGAACATGACTTTGCTTCATCAAACTGTTCTTATGAGAGGAAAATTTGACTATTGCAGTTAGATTGCACCTGAGCACCATATGGCAGCTGAGTGAATTCGGATTTGTATAGAGAGGACATTATGTAACTAGCTTAGCTTAATTTATATTTTTATTATAACATATTTTATGTTTTCTCTCAATAAATGAAAGGCAAGATCGCCTAAGTTCCAAAAAAAAAAAAAATAACAATTTATACAAGCTGAAATTATTAGTATTCCTATTATCAATATCATTTTTTAGTTTATTTGTATATTCTAATTCCAATTCTAAAGTAACTTAATCTAATTCTTTTTAAGAACTGCAAATTAAAAACTGTTCACAAATAATATACATAATCTCTACTTAATTAACAAATTATCAGAGGTAAATATAACTAATGCTTTAGCTATTTTTTAAAATATTCATATACTTTACTTATTTCATACTCTAAATTATTAAACATTTGTTCAAATTCATTACTAGATAAAATATTAATAGCCTCTAATAGCTCATCAGCAAAAAATATTTCAACATTGTCTTTAATATTTTTAAAATAATCTTTTCACTTATGAATTTTATCTAGCATCTTATATACTCTTCTACTATTAGATGATTGAACTAATTTGCTATCTTGTATTGTCTATGAAATAGAGTCTTAAGTAACTACAAACTGAACTAGTAGCTTATAAAAATTTTCTGTAGTTTGTAATTCATATCTCTAATATAATCAAAAAACAATTAATACTAATTATAATAAAACTCTAATAGTTTATTATATAAATTGTTAATTATCTCAGCAGAAATATTAAATAGTTTATCTCTGCTAATTAAATTATATTTATTTTGCAAACTTTAAACTAAGTATAAAAAATTATATAGATGTAGAACTTGAGAAAATCTAGTAGTATTTTTTGAAAGCATTTTGTTCAAAGTGATTAAGCACAATCTATATAATATAAAGTATACAGCTAACTTGGAATATATTTGCACTAGTTTTTTTGTTAAAAAAAGTAATTGCACTATTTTTATCAGATAATATATGTACAGTCTTATCTATAGCCTATAATTTACACTTTATAATATTGAGAATTTCTTTTTGAATTGATTTAATAATAGTATTAGATATAGTTTTACTATTACATAAAAAATATTATTAAGATATACTACTATTATAATAACTATTTGTTTTTGTTAGTTTTAAGCCTGATAACAAATAATTAAATTTTTTATTTTACTGCAAGTAAACTCATCAACTATAATACTGAATAATAAAGCTTGTACAATTTGAAAAATTTGTATTATAACATAAAATTTAGAGATATCTTAATTTCAAGTATAAAGTGTTGAAGTTGATATCTAATTTTGAGAAAATTTATTAGTTAAAATTTGTAAATTATCTTATATTTGACTATAGAATTTATTGAAATTGTTCTAACTTGTATAATACTACTTGTAAACCAAATAGTATTAGAAGAATATTCTCTTTTATTTATCTTAAAAAGAGATTTAATCTTATTTTTAATGCTATATCTAATATTGTTTGTGAATTTTAAACTAGAGAATAAATTTTTGTAATATGATGAGATTTTTAATTTAAATATTTGATTTGAACTTCAAGTAATTGTATTTTTCTAAATAATTTTTTGTTTTGATATTGAAGCTCCTTATTTTTCAAATACTAGTTTACTGTTTGTATT